CTTGTTATAAAAGAAATTTAATTTGATCTTAGTGTACAAAGTGTTTTCATTCTTTCAAAAAGCATTTATTGAGAGTACTGTGCAGACACTCTCTTGGCAACTCAAATCTTTCAGGCATAGTCTCATTCAGAGAACAAAAGCTGGTAACTCACTGTATCCATTTCTACCTGCATACTACAAAAGTGAAAGCTAACTTTAATGTTCAAGTGCAGCAACTCTCTTTAGGTTTCTAATATGTGATACTCTTTGCTCCTGGCATTTACAAGGCTCTTGATCTTTTATATTTATTTTAGCAATCTTATTTTGTTATAAGTCATCTCAAATCCATTTTGGAAATAGGCGAGACATAAATGAAAAAGAGTCAATACCTTCTTACTAACAACCTTCAATAGCTGATGTTGGCTATTGAGGCTTAATATTTCTCCCAATTCAATGGGAGAAATACTAAGCAAAATTCTGTGTTATTTCCGGGAAAATTTGCTCTTGTTGATTGAATGAATTACAAAATACTTCAAGAAGCTTCTCACTAGAGGAAGACATCTACATAAATACTAAATGGAAGAACTGTACTAACAGTTACATTTTGCTGAAAGATCTACTGTTATTTTATTGTTTTAAAAGACTGATTATCTTCTTAAATTACCTTTCCCAATTTCCTTCATTTTCTGTAATGCTATCAAAATAGTTGTCGTCACATAATTTTTAAGACTCAAACAAAGCTCTAGGTTCATCTTCAGTTCTTCCTAATTTTTCTACTGTATCCAATTAGGCTTCCAATCCTATTAATTCTTCCTTGACAACATCCTCTTGATTATTTCCACTTCTTTCTTCTGCCCCTCGGGTCCAGATTACTGAAATAATATCCTAATAGATTTCCTATCTCTCTCAATTTAATCTAACTTCTACAATCAACACCAAGATAACTTTTCTAAAACATTATTTTCACCTTTTTCTCTCCAACACAAAACATTATGATGGCTTCCCATTACCTATTGAATAATAATAAGAATAGCTGCTATGTGTTGAGCACTTACTATGTGCCAGGCACTATGATGAGAACTGTATAACCACCTCATTATCCTCATTATTATTATCATCTTCATAGAGATGAAGAAACTGAGGCTCAGGTTATGTCACTTGCCTAAGGTTGCACAGGCAGTAAGTTATAGAGATGGGATTTAACTCAGTTCTGTTTGGCTCCAAAGCCTGTGGTCCTAACAACTATGCTGTTAATATTCTGTCAAACTCTTTAAATTCAAACTTTGGAATTATTTAAGACCCTATAAGCCTGGCCCTGTCTTACCTTTCCAGTTTTATCTCTCATTACTTTGTAGCACAGACTCTCTGTTTTAGCCGAGCTAGGCTCACTATCTCCAAATCTACCATATACTTTCCCTCTAAATTTTGTTCATATGGTTTTTTCTGCTTGGAATACCTTCCCTCCACCCACTGCTTATCCAAATTTTAAACATCTTTGAAGGCCTAGGTCAAATTTTAATTCTTTCGCATAACTCACACCACTCTTCTGTTATGGACTACCCAAAACATTTATTGTTTATACTATAAACTACAATCTTTAAGTGCTTTTTATTACATATAAGTAAAAAATGTTTGAACACATGCCTGCAATATATGTATACTTTATTTACTTATACATTTTGGATATATCCCACTGTGCTATTATATGAATCATAGAATATATATAAAATAGAAATATACACAGGATGAGATAACGATGAAATGGTGTTTTTATAAAATTTAACATTTTACTAACTATAGATCATTATTGAGAGTGGATTCATATTTCCAATAGTCTTGATGATTTAAAATTATTTTAGCTAGCTCCTTGAGAGGTCAGAGTAGGTCAGCATTGTGTTTTCACCGTAAACTGGCGGATGATGAGCTGTGCTAGGAGTCGCACAAGTTTCACCTTTGCCATTTTCCTGATATTTGCTTCAACTTGCATTGCTAGCATCTTCTGTCTCAGATTTCTTTGTAGGAATCTTGTTAAGGCACTTGTCCATTTTGTGGGGATTGGTTTAGTTAAAACTAGATAATATATCCATAAATCTACCTAACTTGGCATGGGTAAACTGCTATTAGTTGTAATCAGGTCAAGCCCCCCCCACTCCAAATGTTCTTCCCTCACAAGATCTTTGGAACCTATGGGCTGAGTGAGGGCACCGGTGTCAATCTGTATATATAATATCAATAAGTCTTCATTTCTTACTATCTTAGATATATGTGTGTGTGTGTGTGTATGTGTGTGTGTGTTTGTGTGGAGAGAGAGTGTGTGTGTGTGTTTCTATTTTTCCTTTCCACTTCTCAGTGGGTCATCTTGTATGTACCCCCTAGGCTATGTTCATGCTTACTTTGGAGAGCACTGACTTCACATATATAAAGTGTGGCTCTCAAGTATTATTCTAGGCCTCTTTAGGAAAGACTCATCTGCTTATTTCATGTTCCCCACAATATTTAACACCATATTTGCCACATACTATCCTAGATACTTTATTATGTGTGGAATATATTCTTAAGAATGCCAGGATGAATATGGACTGTGTTTTTTTTGTTTTGATTTTTTTTATCATTTTAACCATTTTTAAGAGTACAATTAGTGATATTAGTACATTCACAATGTTGGGCAACCATTACCACTCTCTATTTCCAGAACGTTTTCATCATCCCAAACAGAAACTTTGTACTCATTAAATAATAACTCCCCATTCTCACTACTACCCTGTGTAACCTCTATTCTACTTTCTATCTCTACAAATTTGATCATTCTTGGTACCTCATATAAGTGGAATCATACAATATTTGTTCTTTTGTGTCTGGCTTATTTCACTTAGCATATTTTCAAGATTCATCCATGTTGTAGCATGTGTCAGAACATCATTTCTTTTTATGACTAAATAATATTTCATTTCAGGGATGTACCACAAATTTTTTAGTCATGGGGTCTTGCTATGTTGCCCAGGCTGGCCTCAAACTCCTGGGCTCAATTGATCCACCTGCCTCAGCCTCCCAAGTAGCTGGGACTACAGGCATGCTCCACCACACCTGGCTTATACAACATTTTTAATCCATTAATCTGTTGATGGACATTTGAGTTGGTTCCACCTATTAGCTATTGCAAATAATGCTGCTATGAACATTAGTGTACAAATATCCATTTGAGTCTTTGCTTTCAGTTCATTTTAGTGTATACCTAGAAGTGAAACTGCTGGATCCTTTGGTAATCCTATGTTTAACTTTTTGAGGAACTGCCAAACTATTTTCCACAGGGTCTGCACCATTTTTTATTCCTACTAATAATATAGAAGGGTTCCAATTTCTCCACATTCTCACCAACATTTGTTATTTTCCATTATTTAAAAATAATAGCTATTGTAATGGGTATGAAGTGGTATCTTATTGTGGTTTTGGTTTGTGTTTCCCTAATGACTAATGATGTTGAGCATTTTTTCATGTGCTTTTTGGCTGTTTGTATATCTTCTTTGGGGAAAAGTTTATTCAAGCCCATTGCCCATATTTTAACTGGGTTGTTTGGTTTGTTGTTATTGAGTTGTAGGAGTTGTTTATTCTGGTTATTAATCCCTTACCAGATATATGATTTGCACATTTCTTCTCCAATTCTCAGGTTGTCATTTCACTCTTTTGATAGTATCTTTTGATGCACAGAAGTTCTTTAATTTTGATGAAAACCAATTTAGCTATTTTTGTCTTGTTGCCTGTGCTTTTCGTATCATATCCAAGAAATCATTGCCAAATCCAATGTCATGAAGATTTAATCTATGTTTTCTTCTAAGAGTTTTATAGTTTTAGCTTTTAAGTTAAAATCTTTTATCCATCTTGAGTTAATTTTTGCATATGGTATAAGGAAAGGGTTTGACTTCATTCTTACACATGTAGACATCCAGTTTTCTGAATATTTTATTTGTTGAAAAACTGTTTTTTCCCCATTGTATGGTCTTGGTCTCTTGGCATTCTTGTTGCAAATCATTTGACCGTATATATGAGGGTTTATGTCTGAGCTCTCTATTCTACTTCCTTGGTCTGTATGTCTGTTCTTATGCCAGCACCATGCTGTTTTGATTACTGTAGCTTTATAGGAAGTTTTGAAATTAGGAAGCGTGAGTCCTCCAACTTTGTTCTTCTTTTTCAAGATTGTTTTGGCTATTCAGGGTCTCTTGATATTCCATATGAATTTTAGGCCATCCTAAAATTCTTCTATTTCTGCAAAAAAATGCCACTGGGATTTTGGTAGGGGTTGCATTGCATCTGTAGATTACTTTGGGTAGAATTATCATCTTAATATAATAACATTAAGGATGTCTTTCCATATGTGGGCTATTTTAAAAAAATAACTACTTATGTGAAAGTGATACTTGAATTTTATAAAAAGTCAAATAATATAGTAAAATACAAAGAAAGAAAGAACAAATTACTCCAAATCTTACTACTCCTTGATAACCACTGTTAACTTTTTGGTAAATATCCTTCTGAATACCTCTCTTACAATTTTATATAAATGGGATCTGTTTTTCTCCCACTTAATATGTAATAACATGTTTTTGATGTCAGTGACCAGATTTAAGTTATAGTTGTTTCATCATTTACTTAAGCAAACTCATACTGATTATTTTAGTTTGTTGTGGACTATAATATTTATTAATATCATGATATTAATGGTAGGGAAATCATATAATTTTGAATGGTCGATGTTTTCCTCTTTTGGATGAAGAAAGGTACAAAGTTTTTCATCTACTCAGTTCCTGCATATCTGATGTACTGTAATGCGTAAGTGTTAGATCTTTGGTGTGGTAATTTGTACAGCAATAAAGGGTAGAGAACTAGACACTTGTTTAGAGATTTGTTTATTCTCTACTCTTTTATAGCACAGTGAATAAAAATAATGGTGCATCCAAATTAAATCAAACTTTACAAAACTATAGGAACTGGGTATTTAGTTTATTCTCATTTTCCCACCTTTACAGGAAGAAGTCATGGATTTGACAAATAGAGAAACACTGCATGAATGGTGAGTACTGTACTTTGAATTACTATTCTGACAATTTGTATATTCAGTTATATCTTTTCTTTCAGATAGCAAATCGCAGTACTGACTACCTTTCTTTCGTAGGGAGCTACAAACTGCACTACAGATGAGTCAATCTTGGGACGAAAGTTTCAACCTGGTATGGTATTAACACTTCAATTTTATAGAAAATTTCAAATTTTTACTGACTTGCAGTATTGGCATATCTAGTTTTGCTGTAATTTCTAGAAATCTAAGCTCTATTAGAAACTAAAATTGTATCTGATGCATAAATAATTTTTGATTACTCTTAAACAGTTTATGATTTACTCATAAAAATAACTATCATTGTTTCAAAGTAGGATTCAAAGTAAATAGCTGTCTGATACAAAACCATGGCTGTGGTGGACCAGCTTACTTTCTGTTCTAGTAGGCCTAAAAAAGTTCAGCTGTGCTGGTTAAAATGCTTACATGACAGAACAATAAATGATTTCATACCCTTCTACATAATTTATTAACTATATATTAGAGTTTTAAACCACAGACAAGGGTTTACTAGAAAAATAATGTATTTTTATGCCTGTAACATATATATCCCCTAACATTTTAATATACAGCCTTTAATTTAAACATATTTAGAATTTAGTTACATCTCTTGTTAGTATTTTTTAATGTCTGTATACATTGTGGTTACTTAGTTGTGGTAGTTGAATGATGTTTAGTGTTCTGTTCCATGGACATCTCAGATAATGATCACAAAACAAAAATTGAGCTGAAATTTGAGTAGGAGAGATTCTGGTTAATGTCAATTTCCAGATTTGGGAGTTATTAGATAAGGAAATGGGTCATCAGCAGAAACAATGACATTTTATTTTCCTTTGAGTCTTCAGTACCTTAGATGGGCAGCTATCCCTGATTTTGGAATAGGTCCTGAAGAATGAGTAGATAACCTCTGGAGCCTGTCACTTTTCATGTTTTGGTGCTAATACAATTAACAGATGCTGTTGGAGTCTCTTAACCGACCCAACTCTAATTACGTAGCTGTTGATGTTAGTGAGTAAGAGAATCTGTGAGTTGTTAGGAGGAGGAAAGGAACATGTAATATACAAGTTTAACTTGACTTGTGTTTTGGAGAAGAAAGGAGCCAATTTGAAAGTCCACATTTAGTGTTTGTATATATAGTATGTATTGCTCAATATTGAGTTCTCACATTCTGGGTCTTTCTGGGGTGCTGGGAAGCCCCTCAATAGCCATATAGCTCCCTTCCCCAAAACAAAAAGTGTTCCTTTCCTTATTGAAGTGAATCTTGGGTTCCCTTCTTGATTTAGGATAGTGAGAGCGCCTCACCAAGGTATGGCCAGTGATTTGGTACTAAGGACTCTCTTCCCCATGCAACAGCTATCTCCCTAAGTACTTGATTAGTAAGCAATTGGTGCTACAATTGTACACTGCTTTCTGCTTACACAGAATGACAATGATCCAGAGGCATCGACCTCCCCAAAGTGCATTGATTCAATTCCGGTATCCCCAGCGGTTTCTCCCACCAGGGGGATTGAGAAGGTAAGAAAGGAGTGCCTAAAAGTCTATGTCCCTTGAAATATTTAGAAAACATTAATGGTCACCCACCCAAATCTTTTGGGGGTTATATTTTGCAATAGCGTATCTGATTCTAAGTGATAGTTTTCCCCTTTTTTCATTTCTTAAAACATTATTTACATATAACAAAATTCACCAACTTCGAAGTATACAGTTAGATTATTAATAATTTTGGTAATTTTGTACAATCCTAATCAAGCTGTAGAACAGTACCCATGCTCTAAACAATTTTCTTGTGATCTTTTGCACCTTGATCTCTCTCCCCACTACACCTGCCCACCCAAGGAAACCAATGATCTGCTTTCTGAAAAAAGTTGCAGTTTTAAAACCTCTGTTCCAATTTGATTTTAGCAATGTTTTTCTCCATCTTTACATACTTGTGTGAGTTGCACCAGTTTGCCTCCAAGTCCTATTCCCAGTCCTTCACGACAATTTACAAATGTAAGTTTATGTTGTATGAAAATACCAAATTGCTGATAAAATAAGGATTTTAGAAACTTGAAAAGAAATTATAGCTGTAGGTTCTGTGACAATCAAATAAGGGATTTCTTTTTAGTGAAATTAACATGTCATTGTTTGGGTTTATCATTTTGTATATTAAAAAAACCAAGTAACTAAGAATTTGTGAGAACATATGAAGAATTCAGTAATTCCTTAACCCCACTTGAACATAATCTTCCTTTGACCAAGTTTGTTGGTAAGGATCAGAGCTGTCTCTAGAACTTAAAACAGCTTCATCCATGACACTTATCTTGATTCAAGGCAAGTCCCAGCCAGGACTGTGGGTCTTTCTTGACTATAGGATTCAAAATCCTGAATCCTTATGAATTAGTAGACAGTTTTGCTCCTGAGGTATTCCTGTTTTTACCCGTATATAGAGAAAAGCAGTAAAACAATGTGATGTTGTGTCCTTTACAGAGTCCTCTTTTTGTGTATGTCCTTAGACATGTTATAATGAATTCATTCTTGCTGATTTTGTTCAAAATTTCTTCTTGTAATGATCATGATGATTTTATTTTAGGAGAAGTCAAAGCCCCACCAACACTCTTAGACCAAGTATCCTCGGAAAAAGAAAAGGTAATTTTATCTATCAGCAGAAATAAAACTAACTTTAAATTACCTTTACAAAATATCTAAAATCAAGTGTTATACAAAAATTCATTTTTAAAGGATTTATTTATTTAAAATATATTTGATAAGTTACTAGAGGCCTTTTGTTTTACCTAAATGGAAATATGTATGAAGGTATTTTTAAAACTATAAAGTGCTACATAAATATGAATTGAGAAATTTAATTCCAGTTTAGTTGGCTATTATGATTTTGATTATATAGTTTACCAAGCTAGCTGTCTTAAATACTTTCTGAAACAAGATAGGAAATGAATGAATGAACAAATAAATAGTCAGTCATCAAGTATTTTGCTGAATCTCAACCTCTACCCCACCACCCAAAACACACACACACACGGATACCATGTGAATGGGTTGACACAAATTAGATCTGCCTATAACACTAAAAATATATACGAAGGTGTATGTTCTTTGTTTAGCTTCTTTATGGAGGTTATTTTTGGTTGAATAAATGGAAAGTGACCAACCTTCTGAGTAATAAAGTGCAGTGGAAAGAACAGAAGTGTTTTTTTTTTTTTTTCAGTAATAAAAGGGTAGTGGAAAGAAGAGAAGCGTTTTTTTTTTTTTAATTCCTACAGTCTTGTATCCCACTTCTCAATGCTACCTTACTAAGCTATGCTCTTCTTCCTTTTGAAAGACCACCACTGAATTACATATTTAGTACAAAGTTTAGCTACAGTGAGGAGAGAGGAATGGGTAAAGAGGAAAGGAGATTGAACTTAAAAATGTATGCTTGTGAAACTCCATTAAGGTGGTGGGGGAAGAGGAAGAAGAAGAGCAAAACTGTAGGGAAAGAAACTGAAATATACTTCAATGTTCTGTGTATTTTGGATTAATTAACGGCATCTTCCTAACAACATACCTAACTTAGCATATACCTTTTATATTCTAAGACTAAGATTAGATCAATTCTGGAAAACACTCTTTTCCAAACTGAACACATTGTTTTATGAAAATGCATCAGTGACTAAGCTTAGGGGTCTTTTGCCTGTTCTGTGAAGTTTGGGCTAGTGTTGAAAAAAATCTTTAACTCTATCAGCTGTTGAGAAGTTGGGGTCATTTAAAATAAAGTGTGCTTAAATTGAAGATAGTGTTTTACCAAATTAAAATAGTTTCCCTTTTAAGGTATTTATACATAAAATATTTTATTATATTGAAAGAATCTGGATTTTTCTTAGAATTTGTGATTTAAAAAATTGTTTTTATAGTTCAATTTTGACATAATAGACTTGGTTTCTGCCCCGTGTCTTAGTAGATGCGACATGTCTCACACAAGCTTCTTGTACCTGGTTTTCAGCTGCCCTGGAGGACAACCACCTTATTTCTTTGAGGTGTTCCTGAGGGAATTCCAAAGTGAATTCTGTGTATACCACATAGTCTATATTTTAAGTCATACCCTCCCAAGCATACACTATACAAATTTGGTGAAAATTCATCTAGCCAGATGTAATAACAGATAACCAGAAATCTAATTTTATTTAAATATTTTGAAATATGAATATTCACATTTGGGAAACAACAAACTATATTCTATTTGGATTCCATTTCACAAATGAAATGTAGGGGAAAGATGGTATAGACATAAAATAGAGATCTTGAAGGGGGAAAGGCTAAAGAGAATGAGGACTCTGTAAAGTAGAGGAGAGTATGAGATCAAGCTTAGAGTCCCCAGTGTATGAAGGCATATTTTATGGTGATAAGCAGCAGTTACTTCCATCAGGAATAAGCAAGAGCAAATGAGACTTCACGTGGGAATTCTAAGAAATCTGGAGACATAGGGCAGCTGTAAACATCATTTTACAAGTAATGCTGGTTTTAGCACAGACAAATTTAATTTTCTTTTATGAGGAATTTGTTTTAATTTGTCATGTTTTCAATTTAAACCAAAAAGGAGAGATGGGTGGTTTTTCCATAGTGTCTTAAATGTAATCTGGCAAGGGACAGACTTCTAGACTGCTTTTGAGTTTTATGAGCCATGATTACATTCCTAAGGAAGATCTGTGGAATCTCTATCTCTAGGGATACTTTGTAATGGTGACCTTAGTGTTTTATCATTAAAAAATATTCTACCCTAGAAGTTATGGGCTTGAACATCAGTTTTTCTCATGTCCAGATATAGTTATCACATGAATGTGAAACATTGTGCAGATTTGAACATTCACTTCAAGGCAAAAATTATAGGAATGCAGTTTTTTGAGAGTAGATGTTTCTCCTTAATCTCTAAAATAGATTTATTTTGTTCATTGTGTACTATAAAAAAATTTATCTATTTAGTTCATTGTGTATGGTTAGCAAAATAGAGATAGCAACAACCTACAGGTTTTAAATAAGGAATGAGATTAAAGTCATTAAACAGCTGTACTATGTAGCTATGTAAAATCATGTTGTAGAATTTAGTTAATAATTTAAGAAAATGATAATCATTAAAAGCAAAAAATAGATTAAATGTCATTATTATACACAATACAAACCTGATTTTGTTTAAAAAACAATTATGTATACACACATATTCAGGAATTACTGAACAATGGTTATCTCTGGATAATGGTGACTTAAAATATTTTTCTTTGTGTTTTTCCATATTTTATAAATTCATTGCAAAGAACAAGTATTACTTTTGCAGTTAAAAGCATAATAAACATGTTAAATAAAACATATCTACCTTGACTCTACTATTTTGTCATAGATGAAATGGCACTTGAACATCAGCCAAAGAGGTTTTTCCAAGGCACAACCAACATGCTTTCTTCTGATACTTCCCAACTGTTAGAAAAAAATATGTGGTGAGTATTAACATGAGGTTTTAAACATTTACTAGCCATTTTCACTTGGTTTTTAAGTCTACTTTGGCTAGTGTATATATTCAGAAGTATGGTACATTATTAAATATCTTTAGAAGTTATAAAACTAATATCCCAAATGGATACTATCAAGTTTAGTTCTTTTCTCTAACATGTGTGTGACAATATATGGTGGATACATTTTGTAAGGTTTTGGCATTAGATCAAGAAGTATTAGAGGAATACATAAAAATGCATCCCTGGAAGAAGTTATCTTCTGCCCAACTTTTCTACCTTGGATTTTTGTCTATTTTGTCGGGTTGAGAGTATTATTGAAAAGTATGCTTAAGAAAGCATACTAGTGTTAATAATAAAAATGGGAAATAGGAATGGATTTCTATTTATTGTTGCTGTTGGTTTTCTTGTATAGCTCTTGTGAAACTGCTTTTGTGACTAGGGTCAGTTGTTTGCGTCGTGTTTTGCCTTCATATATACACAAAGCAGAGTGTACAGACAGATCTCTTGAATTCTGTTGTCAATGAGTGGCATTCTCTTCTTTTAGTCTATCTTCAGACACTCTTCACAGAAACAGCAGCAGTGCTGGATCGTCTGGTGATTCACCAGCTGAAATCAGCGCTGTCACAAACTCTCCTGTGTCACCTTTTCATACTGGTTCTCCATTTATAATAGTAGATGAGCTTTCAACTAAATGATTTACCCATCCCAAGATTTTCCCACCAATAGAGAAATACACATGCACACACACACAAAAACCAAGTTAGAACAATAACAGAATTGTGTGGTATAATTTAGACTATCTCCTATTTATCTTTTTTTCTTCAATTTCCTAAAATTCTGTTTAGCTATAGAACTTGCATGTCTAATTCTTGTGTATACCCTTAAATTCAACGTAGTAATATTTTCAAAGATGTTGTCCAAATAAGAACTATGTGGAAGATACAATCATGTATCTCTAAGCTGCTAATGTCTAGAAAATGCTGCATTTTCACTTTTTAAAATAATAGGATGAAATAATTCTGATGAACTATCATTGTTCAATTAACCAACAAGGTAAAATGATTTTTAAAAATTATGTACTTAATGTCATGCTAGCTTTTAACAGTATGTTCAGCAATTGCTAGTTTCCACTTGGTAAAGAAAAGTTACCTATCAAAAGTAGTTTTTAAAACTAAGCTAGTTATACCATTCTGATCCAAGGATTGCCTATTTTGCACATGAATCCTTGGATGTTTAATTTATTGGGAAGGAGTAGGTAGGGGAAGAGCAAAACGAATAAAAGGTAATTGAATAGAAAGAAAATAATATGTAATTGGGGCTTCACTCAGTTCGTACTCAACCTGATTAACCCTGATGAATTTTGTATTCTAATTAAGTGTGGAAAAAAGGCAATGTTGATAGATTGTGGTCTTTTACATTTTTATGAATTATCTTTTATTCATCCCAACTACTGATTTGATTAAATACAGGCTTAATACATTAGGGCTTTTCTGCAAGAATTATGTGCTTCCAATTGTTCCCTAAGGGCTATAAATGTTTATTTAAACCCCAATTTTCTATTCAAAAGTCTTAAGGGTTTTTTAAATAGGAAGAATGACGTATTAAAAATTTTAAATTTAAAGAAAGTGCTTTAAGTAATTGACGGTAGTATTAGCATTGTGAAAAATAGAAATGGATCCTCATGAAATGAAGTTGAGAATGGTTTAAATTGCCTCAGCTAATGAAACAGGAACAGTTATCTAAAATATTTATAAAATGTTTTTTTCTTGTTGTTGGAAATAATCAGAATGATGGAAATCTGATGTAGGTATGCCCCCACATGGGAAAAACACTGTGGCGCTAAGAATTTTTTGACAGTGGCCCTGATGGAATTGATCAGAATGGTTATATATGTGGGCAAAGAGTCTATTCAGTTATGAATAGATGAAACTGAATATTTATAAGATGACTAGGATCATGAAGGTCTCCTGAAACTAGGGCAGGATTCTGTAAATTGGCTAAGAACAAGTGAACTGTAAGTATTGCCTTGTTACTCAGATTCTTTACTTGCTAGACCTTTAGTGGGCCAATTGTGAACATATGAGGGGGCCCTCATGGAATGAGGTATGGTTGCGGTGATGTTTCTTGATGAGATTGTAGATCATTGACAGATACAAGGTCCACATGCACTATTAACACTTTAGCTAAAAAGTTTTGCAGGATGTTCAAATATAAAGAATGAGGATGAAGAAAGTAAACAATAGGGGTGAGACTACTGCTCAGTTGTATAAGGAACTTTTATCAGGAAGTCTTGGTAATCTTAACTATCTCAATATACTTTTCTCAACTCAGACAATTCCTTTCACTCTATTCAGCTAGTTTTTATTATTTCAGCTGTACACTAGGAGGCTGCAGCTCACTATAATATTCTAAGAATCAAGGATTCTGTAGGTGGTTGTCCATTCTGTTGCCTTTTGAGCTTGTGTATTGGGAGGATCCATTTCTTAAATGATTTTCCATTTATTGATTTTCATACCAAAGCATTTGTAACTTTTACATGATGTTTTGTGGTTGATTTTTAAAAATTGTGGCAAGGCTGTATTTTGTCCTCCTAAATGTATAAGGAATTGTCATATCAGTTTTTCATAGTGAAGGACATGCGTTAGTTTCCTAGTGCTGCTATAACAAAGTACCATAAACTGGGTGGCTTAAAATAATGGAAATTTATTCTCTCCCAGTTCTGGAAGCTGGAAGTCCAAGATCCAGGTATTGGAAGGGTTGGTTCCTCTTGGAGGATCTGAAGGATAATCTGTTCCATACCTCTCTCCTAGCTTCTGGTGGTTGCTGGCAATCCTTGGCTTGCAGAGGCATCACTTCAATCTCTGTCTCTGTCATCATATGGGAGTCTCTCTGTGTCCCTGTGTCTTCATATGACCTTCTTATAAAGATACCAGTCGTTGGATTTAAGGCCCACCTCAATCCAGTATGAGCTCATTTTAACTTGATTGTATCTGCAAAGACCCTATTTTCAGATAAGGTCAAATTCACAGGTCCTAGGAGCTAGAACTTCAACATGTCTTTTTGGGGACACAATTCAACCCACAGCAATATAATTTGAGAATTTTGATTTTGCTTGTTTCATTTTTCTTAAATTAGTTTTTAAAATTGTCTATCCTATAACTCATCTTAAAAATATAAGCACAAGATGTGACTATAAAGCATTATCTTAAGCCTTAAATCTGCATTCAATCAAGTATTCCTATTTTACTTACAACCTTATAAAAGAGCAGTGCTCCAAATTTACCCCAATGATTCACTGAGGTTCAACATGGAGAGTCACTATAGTGATGAGTTGGGTTTTCAGATCAGGAAAAAAATATATGGTTTTTAAAATTTTTTGAATCAACTGATAAAACTTGTCATTTCAAATATATTCGATAAATATCTAATGAATACTATCCGTGTACAGGAAACTACACTAAAAATTGTAGGATATACAAGGATGAGTGAGTTACCATATGTATCTTCAAGCAGGATAACATAAGTACAAAAATAATAATGATAAAAGGCATTCTATGATAATGACTATAGATACACGTATTAAAGGGCCCCTGTACTGTAAAAGTAGGATAGAAAGATAGTATTGGAATCACAGAATCCTAGAATTAAAGGATTTTTAGAAGTCTTAATCTACCTCTCAATGTAGGAACCCTTTTAAGAATTCCAGACAGATTATTTTTTTAGCCTTACTTTGAAATCTTAGGGGAATAAACTGACTCCCTTGCAAGACAGTTCATTCTATTGTTGGACAGCTCTCACAATTAGAAATCTCTTACATGAAAAAGGGGGGATGGGTGTAGAGTTTGTATTTAGATGGTCTGTTTCATTGGCTCTTTAGAGTTGAGGCAAATTGGACGAGCTATTAAAAGCACATGAGTTAAGATTCTAATTCTGCATTAATCTTTGTCCCTGCTCCGTCAATTATTAGTACTCCCACTACAGGATATATTTAATCTCATCTCCTAAATGAATTTTTAAAATTTACCTAGAAGCAACTATATATAAATATCCATGGTGAAAATGCATGTATGATACTTTGGATATCTATGGGGAAAACTAATTACAATTTGCCTAAAATGTTTTTAAATATTTTAGATTTTAAAAGTTGAGCTTGAAAAATATGTCATATAGGTAGACTTCACTGTCAGATAGTTGAAATTGTGCTTTTAGAAAAGGCCAGGGAACCATAAGTTCTCTGGCAAATAGATAGCTTTGTTTCCGTGAAATTCCATAATATCTCACAGATTTCTTACAATGTGGTTCTTAACCCAAGGTAAAGAAGATTGATTTTCACAAGTGTCTATAATGTATAGGTGGGGAAAACCAGACATTATATAGGAGTCTTGGAAACTTGCTCAACCCTCTTAAATGTGGGAGACTTAAGTGACCATAGTCTCTAAGAAGAAATGCATTAAATGAATGCAGTTATTAACTGAATCCTGTAAATTGACCAATAGCTACTTGTATGCAGTTGGAGATCTTTGTGGCTTTACTGACAGCAAAGTAAATTAGCAACATAATTGCTCATGTCAACCCTTTTGGGGAGTGACCAGACTACATTCTTAGCAAGTACAGGTGTAAGGAGACATGACTTGTAGCTCTAGCTCTCCCACTAGCTCTGTGTGGCTTTGGGCAGGCCACTTCACCTCTCTGGGTTTCAGGTACCCAATCTGTAAAATAGAGTTGGACCAGACATTTATAAGGTTCCTTCTGCCTCTTTAAATGTTATTGATTCTGTGAAAACATTGCATGACAGTGAAAGTCATGGTGGCATTAAACTTCAGAACGCTTTGAGAAAATATTTAGGAAATTAGAGAGCGTTATACCTAATATTTTTATTCTTTCTGGCAACAAGAAACTCATTTTGTTCAGCCTCATCAATAGTTTCCTCTCTTCTCTGAATTATGCATGATTTATGATGAAATGTGGAAAGCTAATTTCCCCCTGGTTTCTTGTTTTGTGTGAATAAATGATCCTCTCAGGATTTCCGTATTAATAACAAGTTCCCACTGACAAAGCATTCGCCATAAAATTTTCTTTATACCGTAACAACAGCTTGAGACAAAACAAAATAAAGATATACTTGGTATGTTTGTTTCAGAGAAGCAAGGGAGACATGGCCAAAAGCTACATGAACTATGAAAAAACACTGCCCCAATACGAATTTGCAAGTGCTCAACTTGAACTAAAAAGCAGACAACCAGCAAAAGAGCTTTTTCTTTTTCCTTGATAATTATTATATGGCTATAAGAAAATTCCTCTAATGTCAATTTAGTTTATTTCTTGGCATAGCTTTTGTGTTTGGTAACTCTCCATTGAACATAAATGAAAAAGGACACACTTAAAAAGTCACAAATAGCTGGCTTGTGACTTTGTGCTGAGAAAGGAAATATTTTAAAATTACATTATCCAGCAGAAGAACCTAATTACACTTTCCATTTCTAGCCTTGTTCTTCTGAAAGAAAGGGTTTAGTTTGCTTCCTTAACTGGACTTAGATGAAACTCTACAGGGGTTTACAGCAAGTCCTATTATTCTTGGATGATCTTTCCATAAGAGTGGGGAAGGTACTGAAGCCAGAATGTCAGGGCTGTCAAGGGAAGTTCAGCTAAAACTCCCTTCAACTTGATTTGGAATACATTCCCATGCCGCACTGAT